AGCAGGAACAGCCAATATTGCATTCTGTATTTGGGGGAAAGCAGGACAGCATTAATATGCTAATCATGTAATAAATCCTTTCCACTCCAGCAGGGCTCAGGGGAGTGCTGAGTCACATCTGCTAAAGCTTCCATATCAGTTGTCAATACCAGCACCCCCAGTTTGGCCAGGGCTGATAAAGGAGTCTCTTAACGTGGACAATGATTGATGGTCACCCTGAAGCGCTGTTTGAGGTGCAGGTGTCYGAATGCTGTGGCAATATAAACCCATCCATTTATCTCTATTCCTAAGAAAAGAGATGGGGTGACTGATGCAGAACCTTCCTGACAGAGAATTAAATTAGAACAATACAGTTAATGTCAAGCTGCRTGGTCATTTGGGAGTCAGTTTTTGCTGCTTAGCCCATGCTTAAGCTGATCAAAAGACTCGGCTGATATTACTTGACACTGTAACATAGTTTCAGGTGCTGTGAGGTATTTGGCCTGATATTTGATGACTCTAGAAGAATATAAAACTGATGTAATCACTGAGTTAATTAAAAAGCAGGTAACTGACTGCACTTTAACTGAAAATCAGTATTACTAGTGAAAAAAAATATTTCTCAGTATACTGAGCCCCATCCTTTGGAGGTTAAAAAAAAAAAAAGACAAAACCTATAGTGTTTATACAGCTSCTCTCATAGTGCCTGACAAAGCTGTGGGAGAGACCAGTGGGRTTCCTGGCTGCCCCAGAGATGTGTGTGCAACAGAGACAGCGAAAATCTTGTACCCAGAGAGGGGAGAGAGGGGCTTCCCCTGGAGCATTGTGCAACAGTCTYATTTCCTAATGCCTGTGGAAGGTTAATTCAAGCTACCTGGATGATTAAGAGACACACAAAGTTCATTTTCTAAGACTGAAAGGACTTGGCTGGTTTAGCAAGATGAAGGGTAACTGAAGGTGTTACTGTGGGCTTGAAGTGCACAAGGGAGTAGATGCAGGGAAGGCAGAGATTTATACTGAGACAGTTTTACCAAAAAGATTGCTGAATATAATCAAAGAATTTAGTTTATATTGAACATAAAGTGTGAGATTCTGAAAATATCTTCCTACAGAAGACAAACACTGAATGTTTTTTTTACAGGGAGTTCAGAATATTTGCAATATTGTTGTTTGTGATAGCAGTGGAGAAAACCCTTGATGGTTCATGGTGTTCTTTGCCCATTCAATCCCCTATGCATTCCAAACAAGGATTAATTCAGGGAAGTCCTGAGCTCTGTGTTTACAGATAAAGCAGGAGTGGGTGATTAASTCAATGCTTATCTGGCAGGGGAGAAACCATTGCCCAGGATTGCTCTGTCCACAGCACTGTCTATTCAGCAGGTCTGGAAACGCCAGGTGAAGAAAGGGCTTTTCTTCCTCCCATAGTAAAGAARCCTTACTTGCCACATGACTGTCTATACACATTTTTTTGTGATGTGATGAGCTGCATTTTGTTAATTCTCTGTATGTTTGCAACTATCTGCATTATTTTATTTGTTTAAATCTTTCTTCTTTAGACCTGTAGGTAAATTCATTATTCCACTTATTTCTTGTTGGCTCTCTGATAACAACATTAAGTTACACTGTTCCTGTAGCATACCTCTGCCTTTTCTCCAAGACTTTGGAAATCACTGTTTAGTGTGTTTGATCTTTGCTAAAAGTCCTTGAGACATATTTCACTGCATGTACCATTCATTTTTCATATCCAAGCAGGTTTTAAGTTCTGTGGCTAATACAAGTTAGATTTTCCAACATACTGTAACATTAAAAAAAAAMCTAACAAATCAAAAATCCAGGCATTTTACACTGCCTTCATTTCATTTACTCATAGCAGTGTAGTTATTTCTGAACAATTACTAATACCCTTGCTGCTTTGAATTTTAATTTTCTACTAYTGGTGTGGAAAAATTCTTGTTATTCTCTTCGATACCTGTAGAAGCCACTGAAGGGCAGGTCGTGTCCCCCACCCCCCGGATTTCTGTGTGTGTTTCCAAAGGGCAAAAGGATACGCAGTCCTTCCCAGAGAGGCCGTAGCTCATCTGGAGGATGTTTCTGAGCAGAAGTTTCTCAGCTGCTCTTGCTTTCCGGGCAATGTGATTCCTACAAGGGGTCACAGTTTACAAACGAATCCTRTGGTTTTATTTTCATAGCCCATCACTGTGTAGGTGTCAGCTGGGACCTCTCTGCGAGATGCTGGGGTGTGCCTGGTTCCCTGAGTGCTCCTTGGAAAATCATCGCTGAGGACAGAGTTATGGAACATAACAATTCCCTGTAAAGGACAAAGAGTACGATGTATGCAGTTGGAATAGGAATTCTAAGTTGTGCTGTAGAGTTMCGAATCTTCAGGGAGGATTGATTCGGCTGCTTTTTGGAAGGGTTTGTCTGGGCATGCGGGGCGGCTGCAGCACCGTGCAGRGTCCTGTTCTACCATCTAGTGGCTCGTTGGGACAG